CATGAATAACGACGGAGTCTTTCCAGATGTAACACTCCGTTTTCAATGATTTATGTGTCGATCGATAGAGGACAGTGAACTAGTCAAAGACCTAAAAGGATTTGGGCTCATGATACTTCTTTCAGGAGATAATGAACTTTTTTGTTTGCCTGTACAAGGGAACCTACTAATATCTTAGTCAAAATACTGAATTAAGAGCTGACATTTTTTTTCATCACCGTGTTAGATATCTGTTATTATCACAGAAAGTTGCAGCCTTCTAACTTAGTACTTGCTAAGTTATTGATTTTTTTCTCTACTTAAGGAGAATCCATGTGTTTTTCCAAACTCTGTGTTTATATTAGCTCACGTTTCTTTTTTTAGTATAGGCCCACACGTGTATTTCTATATTTGTTTTGTTAATTGAAATTGTTCTGTATTAGGAAAGAAAATATATCTATTGTCATGTGCGTGTTTTCCCTGCGTGAGAGAGAAAGATAGACTTTTTTCGTGTTTTGTAAGGCATCAACTCTTTAAGATTAAAACTACAAGTGTCGTCAAAGAAAGATCGTCACACTGAAATAAAAAAGATCTTTAGTACGCGAAGTCTGCCGTTCGAAAAGACAAAATGTGATGTTCTAACGCGAGCAGTAAACATCAACAGTAGAATCTTCTACAATAACTGATATTAACAGGGAAAATGTGACAATACAAAAAAAAAAAACAGCTATATTTTAACTGATGAAACTTTGCACAAATTTCGTTCAATTTCATGCTGTGCTGGGAGTGCAACTACTTTCTCCTAACACCAGAAAATATCCACTTTGAAAACGTATAGTTGTGCCTTCATCTTGTATATCTTTCTGGCGAATTGAAAAGTCAAATAGATAGTTCCTTAAAAAAAAAGAATCGTTTTTCTTATCATCCATTTTCATTTATTCAAGTCACCTAATTTTTAAAGAAAGTAACTTTGAGAAATACTGCAAAAGATGTCGTTCGTAGTCGCTTCACACATTTATCTAATTTCACACACTTATCTAATTTCACACACGGTTCGAAAAAAAGAAAAGTTTTTGCCCTGCTGATCGCGAGTTGTTTTCATTGCAGTGACGAAAAAGGTCCATCGTCAATGCACGATGAAGATAATTACTATATGATGCTGGAAAAGGAGGAGAATCAGTGTCATGGGAGCATCGCGCCAGTTATCAGTCGCGTAAAATGTTTTGCTCAGTCAACTCGTATTCAGAGAAATCAAGAAGCTAAAAGGGACCTCTTTCATGAGAAAACTTTGTCATAGAATAGTCAATTATATTCAGGATTTTAACTTTCAGATTTACAATCAATATTTTTGAATTTTAACAAAAGGTGCATTTTTGACTCTCAGAGCTTTTCAAATATCCATTTCTTCGTGTCAAAGTTTCATGAGCCCAAATCCTTTTAGGTCTTTGACTAGTTCACTGTCCTCTATCGATCGACACATAAATCATTGAAAACGGAGTGTTACATCTGGAAAGACTCCGTCGTTATTCATGACTGAAGTAAAGATGCAACGAATTAGAGTATTATAAAAAGGCTATTTTATGCTTATCATAAAGTCTATTTTCTCAAGCTCAGATTTAATACTAGTGATTTCTTCCTTTTCTTAACTCTGTATTGTAGTCTAGAAAAAGAAATTTTATACCGTTTTTTATGAAAAAATGTAACATTAGTTTCACAATTTTAATTTCTTGTGTTTTTTCTGTGACGTTCGTGTGTTTAGCAGTGTTGTGATGAATTGGGATAGACGTCAATCGCAAGCAAAACATATTAACGTATCTTTATATTTAGCGCACCAAGGAAAAAGCTACATTGTTTGTAAAGTCTTGTTCTTGACTTTGCATATGGATCAACGTGGTGTGGTATTTTGTTTATGGGAACAGTTCGCTCCATCAGATGATAATTCTGTTTTTAATGGTAAATTATTATATTTATTGATATTTATTTTTTTATCTTGTTTTAGATACATTTCTCTTTGAAAATGAATTGGTGTCAGTTTCGTTTTACAATAATTGAAGAATTAGCTTTAGAAGGTCTCGAAGGTTGTACATTTGCTCATTTATGGTCACTGATTAACTCTTCACTCCCCTATTCAATAAATCAAGATGAACAAATTCAATTCAAATCGTATATTTGGAAAGTACTAACATCATGTCCTTGCGTTGAATTTTACGAATTAAATTCATCAACAACAACCGATGATGAAACGTCAACAATAATTATTGAAGAAGATGGTGGAAAATGTCGTGGCTTTTCTCCATCGTATTATCGACGTACAAATATCACCGATTCAATTCGTTTAAATTGTTTAACATATAAACAAGTTGAAGACAGATTAGATAATATTCAACTTGTTATTGAACAGAGTGTGAGAGAATTAAGAATAACACAAGGAAAACATGATGTAAAAAATCTATTATCAAAAAACGAATATGCACTATTAGAATGTATTTGTAAAGCAAGAAAAGCGGGTGTGCCTACATCAGGTAGGAAGATAATCAATCGAACGTTTTAATCTTATTGTCTAATTTGTTTTCTTCTATATCTTTAACACGTTGCTGTTGTTTGTCTTTTAAAGGCAATAATGGTTTATCAAAATTATTCGGTATAAATAGTAAATCATTATTTTATTTTGTTAAACAATTACTTGCATTAACTTTAATTAAAAAACTGAATATGATTCGTCATCCAGGCTCAACTCTTAAACAACCGGTTCTAATCATGACACGTTATTTATCAATAGTTGATATTAAAAATGCAGAATCATCAATTTATGATAAAGTGAAATTGTATTTACAAGAACAAGTGGGAACATCATGTGAAAGAAATCAATTGAAAGCATATTTAAATTTAGGTGAAAAATCCTTTCGTGCATTAATGTTAAGATGTAAACGTTTTAAAATTGTTGAAAAATATAAACAATCAAAACAGATAGCACAAAATTCAAGGATGAAATCTTTTACATACTTTCGTATTAGAGATCCGGCGAATGCAAGAGATGGTGAGAATGAAGATAATGATTCATCAGATGGCGTTGAAGAGCTTGACGAGACTGTGGAAGAGGAAAAGATCGAAGAAGAATTAGTACAAGGTAAAGAGAAAATATTCTTCAAATCAATAATATTATCATTCTCATCTAATGTTCTTTTAGACGATGAAGATGATTATCCCGTATCCGATACATCTAAACAACTTTTTCAAGATCCAAACATACAGTTGAGATTATACGTTGATCGTCCTATTCATTTTCAACTTTATGAATTATTAGAAGCGGTTAAAGATGTTGGTTTGTCACAACGAGATATAGCTACAATTTGTCATCTACCATTTTATCTAGCACGTTCTGAAATTAAAGCTTTATCTAAGAATACTCAACATTTGGCAATTAAAGCAGTACAAATAAATGAAAAAGGAAAAACGATGGAAAATCGAGTTGTCATGAAAAACTATATGCGAATGGCGCCATCAGTGACAACTACGACAAATACTTCTTTTATAAAGCCAACAACACCCAAAAAAGAGCCTCTTTCACGTGTTAGTACATCGAAAAAATCTTCATCATCATCATCATCATCAAAGAAAAACAGTAATAAACGAAAACAGACGGAAGAGTCTACAATCAAAACGACACCTACAAAGTCGAAAAAAATAAATGGTAAGAAGGCACCTATCTGCTCATTTGCAGCTCCGTTGAAAGTTTGTTTCTGAAAAATAACAGACGTAGTTATTCAGGCCCGTAGCCAGGGAGGGGAATTGATGGGACTGGTGTCCCCCTCTGAACTTCTGAAGAAATGATTTTTTCCCTGCTGAATAACGTCAAACTTCCTGTGTGGAAAAGCATTTTTTCGTGGTGATAGGAAAAAAGAGAAAAGATTTCTTTTCCTCTAATATTAGCTGAATTGTGGCTAATTTTTCTAACGCCTGCACTCAATCAGAAAAAAATACCATACTACCTCTAAAGGAAAAAAAAGTCGGTCCCCCCTTCGCAAAAATCCTGGCTACGGACCTGTAGTTATTTCTTTATTTTAGTTACAAATCAAAATTCTTCATTACAATCAGTATCATCTTCAATAGCATTGAATCAAAATGACTCACCATCTATATCTTCATCAAATACAAGTTCCACAACAACAATCAAATCTGAACCGAAATTGCCTCGAGTAAAACCATCAATAAAAACCGTTTCTTCAACAACTTCATCACGAATAACTGTTGAACCATCTTCTAAAGGAAAAAAATCAAAATCTCGTCCAAAAGTATTGGTTAAAAAAATTGATTTAAAACGTGAAAAACGTTTAGAATGGATACGTACATACGTTCGTGAACATCGTATTTGCACTATTATTGAACTAAGACATGATATGTTACTTTCAGAAATTGAACAAGGTCTAACAACATCCATGGATCGAAAAACATTATACAAACTAATCGATGAGCTAGGTAAGAAAATGATAAATAATAATTAACAACTAAGAAGATTAAAATCAGTGAGGAATCAATTCGAATTTACCATCACATATGTAAACAATTTGATTTTATATTTAGAATTTAGTGATAATCAAAAATGTTTATATCGTTTTCCATCAGAATTAAAACAATCTCGAACGGTTGTTTGTATTGCTACTACAGAATTAATGTTAGATAGTCCTGAAGTAAAACAATTTAAATCAGAATTACTTCAGGAAACAATTGAAAATCCAACAAAAAATTCTACATCAACGTCAATTAAAGAAGATCAAGATGAAAATGAAAGTGTTCAATCATTTGAAACTTTAGAACATCCAAATGGAGCGGATGAACGAGAAAAATTAGCTCAAATTAAATCACAAAAATTAGAATATATTAATTGTCAAGGAAATTGTTATGGTTATGTTTATAAATTTCAACGGTGTGCAATTTTACATAAATTTCTATTCTATCTTCTTTATGCATACGAAGGAAATGCTACACAAACAACAAATGACACTGATGATTCATTCAGAGTAAGCTAATAAAGTTAACGAAGAATTCTACGGGAGAGCAAGTTTACTATAAAGGGTGGTCCAGAAGTCCTGACCCGATTTGAATAATATAAATTTTTCTATAGTGAAACAAGTGATAGTAAATTTGTCTCTGTGAAGAAAAGATGCAGTAAAAAACGCTGTACAAGATGACTATTGATTGACCCCATTAGCTCATCTAGTAAGAATGTTATAGGCTTAGAAATGTGCTTCACAAAAAAGAAAAATCAACCGTGAATCCGGTCTCGGTATTTTTGCTTTAATTCCTGCTCCTTAGGTCCTCTGGAATAAGTTCTTTTTTTAATAGAAGCGTCGTGAAATTCTCTACAAAATCCGTACCTAAACTTTAATTTCAGAACTTCAATCAACAAAATTAAGCAAATTATACACGAGGCGAAAAAATTAAAAAATTTGTAAATTTGGTTTGTTTTACTTAACCTTCTTCTTCTCCTATTATTTCCGTAAAAAAAGCGGAGCAAAAGCGACAACACAATTTGTGTTGGGTACTTTCAAATGTGCTCTTTTTTGTGGTTTGTAAAAAGACTTTTTGGAGCAGATGGTGTGTTAGAGAATCAAGTTTCAAAAATATGTCAAAAATCGACAACCTCGTTTCCAACAGTGTACCCAGCAAGAAACGGAAAACGTGATTGAAGTTTTGATGTTGCAACTAGGTAGAGAAGAGCAATCATTTTTGATCAAAGCAAAACAAACTCGATCAAAAAACGTTTTGTTTTGATAAAGTTATGAGACTTTTACTGAAAGCACCACCATATGGATCGAGTTCACGGTTGATTTTTCTTTTTTGTGAAGCACATTTCTAAGCCTATAACTTTCTTACTAGATGAGCTAACAGGGTCAATCAATAGTCACCTTGTAGAGCGTTTTTTACTGCATCGTTTCTTCACAGAGACAAATTTACAACCACTTGTTTCACTATAAAAAAATTGATTTATTCAAATCGTGTCAGAACTTCTGGGCCACCCCTTACTATCTTATTTTCAAAATTTGATCATTATGATTAATTTATTTACGTAAATGAGAAAATTTTACTGATAATTTCTCTTGTCTCAAATAAATATCATAATCTGTTTCACAAAAACAGAAAAACTAGCTCCAAGATTGAAAGAAAAGTCAAAAACGTTGGTTGGAATTATTTGGATTTGTTTAATTATCATTGTTTATTAGTCTCAAATATCGATAGTTATAATTATCTCATTGAGTTTTACTTCGCGTAGTATAACTTTCATCATGTTCGAATGTGAGCTATTGCCTTTACTTTCTTAGCTTCATGACTGATGAAGATGTTAATCAAATCTGCCAGTAATTGAACACTCTTTTATCCATCCAAGAAAATTTATTTGACATCTTTTAATAACATTGTTATTTTGAGAAAATTACAAATTTCTCCCAATTCTTTCCTTTACAACACACTAGTACTTAGGTCAATTATGATTCTTACGGTTTAACGTACTTACCTTGAAATTGAATGCTTATTATTTCTACATTTTTCTTTAGTGTAATCCATTATTAGATGTTCAACAGTGCTCATCCGATCCAGAAATTCAACTGTTACTTTCTCGCATTCCTTATAGTCGTTTTTATCATTCTATGGGTAGTAATGATTCAATCACCTGGAAAACATTTGTACCACCTATATCTACACGGAAAGGACATGGTGAAATTCCACGTGGTTGTTTCTATGTAGATGATTTACTTATGTGTATGCCCGTTTCAATATTTTTATCAATTATTCATGTACCATATAAAGTTCCAGGTTTAATGGAATTATTATCACATTCAAGCAAACGTCATATTCTTATCAAAGATTTACCAATTGAAATGAAATATCCATTAATAGTTAAACGATGCTATTTGACACGTTTAGGAGAAATATTAAAATATTTATCAACATTTGGTCTTATAACATATGTAGGACGAACACAAGCACAAAATCGACATGAAAAATTAAATTCATTATGTTATTTTCATCCAACAGCATGTTTAACTAATACAATTAATCAACAAACAAATCTTAATGGACCATTTGAGGGTATATGATAGTAGATCATTTCTATTAAATTTCATTTCATGTTTCTTTCTTCTTTTTTTCTATTTAGATATTGATAATTTGTATCCAAAACAAATCTATTATTTTAATTCATTTTCAAATGTTAATCGTTTTTGGTTTGATTTGATTGAGATCGCATTGAATACGTATCATGTAAAAATTCACACACGTAAACAATCACGATCACATTTAATTGAACTAATGAAACTTGCTGCTCAACCAATCATTTACACCGATATAACAGAATTAAAGTCACCATTAGGCTCTTGTAATGGTCCATGTGGTTATGATTATGATTTGTATTTATTTTTGAGAAAATCATGGAAATTACCATATAGTAATAAAAGAACGCTAATGAATAAAGTAGTAGGACAACAATGTTTTGTACCTGTTTGTGAATTACGTGTACCGGTTGATGTTGCACTAAAACGATCATACACAACGCAAAAGACGCAAAAAAGAAAACCAAAACAACAACAAGTATGATAGCTAAAAAATTAATAATTATCGAAAAATATTTCGTTTTTTGTGTGAAAAGTAACCTATAATGAAAAGAAGAGCTTAATATATCGCGAAATTGCCTAACAAACCAAAGCAATCTCATATTTTTCCTTTTTTATTTTAGTTAAATGGTCAACTCGATAGTGATGATGACGATGAAAAAGAATTAACAAAACGTAGAAAAAAAATCAAATTATCAAATGGAGGTGAAACTGAAATTGACGATAAACTTCCAGTCGAATATTATGGTTATTTATGTCGGTATATAATCCCTCATAATCTATTAGCACAACTAAAACTATTAAAAAAACGAAAAAAATTATTATTGGATCAACAACGAATGAAAACAAAACAGATATTGAATAGATACAAAATAATTATACGAACAAATTTGGGTATGATGGAACAAGATGAAAAGAGTGGAGAGGCAACAGTCACGACAAAGAAAAATAAACGAAAAGGAGTAAAATCGTACGATGACGATGAGGATTATATCGATGAAAACGAGGAAGGTAAAATATAAAGAACTGTAGACGAATGTACAATTGTGAATATGGTGTATTTCAAGTTCTCAGCCTATCAGAGAGCAATTCTAATAAAGGGATAGTTCATTAGCATTCTTTTCGTTAACTATAAGAAGGTATTTTTCTCTCTCTTCTATTATGGTTTATATATTTAGAACATCATCAGACTTTGTTGCGTGTTCGTTGGAGTCCAATAGAAGAACGTGTTATTTGTATCATTAATACAGCTCTTCGATTTTATAATCCGAAAAGATCAACAACAACATCAGTAACAGCAGCCATTTCATCAAAGGCACCACCTAAATTTGATACTTCAAATACATCTGTGGATTGGATATTAACTGAACATGAAAACGGTTCAAACAATACTTCATCAGTCAATCGTCGTTCACCAACATTTTTACCCTTTAGTAAAGAACTTCTTTATTCATGTTTAATTCGTTGTTTACCAGGCTCAGCACGATCAAAAACGACTGTTAATTGTCTTCGAAAAATAAGAAATTCTGATTTAAGTGAGTAATAAAGATTTCAATATAAAGCAAACTTTTTAATAAACGTTATTTTCTAAAAAAATGTTTAATTTGTTGCTTGAAAGACAATTTGTATTCATTGTACTTGAAATTTGTTGTTATTGTTATATATTTTTTTAATATTTTATTTAATATTTCAAACTATTTCTCATTAAATTTAATTTATTAATATTTAATTTTGTTTAGGTCAACACCAATTAATAGAAACTTTAACTCTTCTATGTTTAACGGATAAATATTTACAATTTTATCGTCAACAACATATGCCTATGAAACGTCGATATCCTGTAGAACGTCGCGTAACACAAATGATTGAACAATATTTTTTATGTTTATTTGAACAAATTTATTTAAAATTTAAATATTTTATAAAAACTGGTTTCATTGATTGTATACCACAGGGTACAATTGAACGTTTACCACAAACAAAAAAAGAATTATTTGAAAAATATACATGCATTGGTAGACGACAACAACAATCAACAAATGATCAAATTATGAAAGACTATAGGTAAATATTATTCGATAAATTGAGTTAGTTAAAAGAAAATTACTAATAACTTTCGAGTGGTTAGACCTCAATTTTTCTCAAAATCTCATTCTCCATTCAGAAATGATAATCGATATCGAGCTGAGCACACGGATAGATATCTCAACATGTTCATTCTCAGAATTCATACTGATTAAGCTTTATCGAAGATTTCAGAAAGATTTTGAAATTTTTTTCTAAAAAGTCTTAAAAAGCTGACATTTTGAAAAATTATGATGCCTAGATAAATGTTTTCAATAGTGTCAGATTCTAGAGCAAACCGTTCTGATCAAAACATCAAAAGTTATAACAGTTCTTCGAGAAGCACTAAAATATACATCATACACTGACGTATCCTATCTCAAAACTACTTTTAATCTTAAAACTATCGCTATTTACTCGATTTCTTATCTATTTTAAGCCCTTGAAATTTTGAATTAGAATGACAAAACACTGTGCTATGACGTAGCAGAATCTGATTTTTTTTTATTTTAACTTCCGTCTTTACAAAAAACTAGTCGATGATTTATTGAATTCTCAAGGCATTGAAGAAAGAAAAGAGGATAAATCACTCATATACAAAACAATTTTTCTATTATATTTGTTTTAGTTCGACAACAAATCGTTCAATATTAGAATCAACTATTTGTATGGCTATTCATAGTTCACTATTGAGTAGTAGTGATCGTACATCGAACAGTACAATATTAAAATCATTTTTATTTCATAATATATTTTCACAATATCCTGAAAGTTTATTAAATGAAGTTGTTCATCGATTAATGTATCGTGATGCTTGTATAACATTAACAAAATCACATGATATTCAACGAAAAATATCAAATGAAATGTCAACATTTCTTGCTGGACGAGCTTATCATATTAATCAACGTTATATTTATCGATGGTATACGTATATACCACCAAATGTTTTACATGAATCACATGATTGGCTATTTCAAAAATTAATACATTTAGATCAAGAAAAAGAAAATGAAGAAATTTTAATTGATGCCGATGTACAAAATTGTGTGGCGATTGTTTCAAGTTTTGTTAATTTATTTGATAGTCAATATTTTCAATTATGTAAATATTTTACTTTAAGATAAAGATAATGTAACAAAAACTAACCATTTATTTTGATTTAGATGTTCAATTACCACCCTCATTTGCGAATGATGACGAAGAAAATGATCCATCTGCAACTGAAGAAGCAGAAGATGATAAAAAAGAAATGTTAGATTTAAGACGAAAATTGAGACGTAATGTTAAATTAAATAAATTAGATTTTGATGATGGTGGTACTAAAACAGAAGATGACAGTGATGAAGATGAAGAAGATTATTTTGATGAAAATGAAACAGAAGTGAGTGAATCATTTGAAAAAGTACTGGCAAGTGCACGAATGATTGATCAAAATCGATATGAAGCAACACCTATAACAACACAAAAACAACAAGCATCAGCATCGATTCTAAAGCGATCCTATTCAATGCTAGAAGATGAAGATGTGAGTGATGAACAACAAAATACAACTATAAAAAAAAATAAAACGGTAAGATTCAATTCGAGAGATTTTCATCATATTTAATTGTTAATGTACAGTAATCCTAGCAATGTACTCTTTAGAACTATTCGATAACACTATTCATTTTTGTCTATATATGTTTTAGACAACTAATGATAATGATGTTATTGATACATTATCCTCTCATTCAAAAACAAGTACACAATTACAATTACCACCTAATTTTTCTTGCCAAATATGTCAAAAATCATTTACATCTCATTTTTCTCTTAATCGTCATTTGACACGTCAACATTTACAACATGAAATAAAAGCAAGCTCAACAACAAATTCTTTACGTCCATGTTCAACAATTATCAATAATATTTCTCGTAAAATTCGTCCTCATTCTCAAGATACTCTTTCAACGTTAAGTTGTTGTCAAATTAAAATGAAATTAAATGAAGATTTTATTCGTGAACAAAAACAACGATTTAATCTAATATCATCTCAAATATCTGATATACAAATATTATTAAATAATAATCTTTTATATTCAGCCATCTATGAACATCAAGAATTAGAACAATTACATCGACAATATAAACAAGAAGTAGAACAAACAAGTCAAGTTGAAATAGCTATAACAAATACACAAGAATCAGGTAAATTTTCAAAAATAAATCCAGCTAGAAAAATTTCATATTCATGTTTGTTTCTTCACGTATAAGAGTTCGTTCGTTAAACGATCGTCATTTTATTTAACTTTTAATACCATAAAGTGTTTCTAAAATTGTATACAGAAAAATACAAATGAGCACAATCTAAGAGCACCAGAGATAGAAAGAGTCATGTATGGTGCACGAAGCACTAGTCGATGCTAATGAGGACATAGATGTTACAGACAGGTTTTGTGATCACTGATAGTCTGTAAACTGTGCTCGTATTGCCTATGACATATCATTGAGAATGTGTCAGATGTGAAGCAAAATTCCAGATCGTTTCACAGTGGGCAATCACAACGACATTAGGTGAAAAAGGAAAGTGAGTTTTTACAAGATTTAAGTGATGTCATATAAACGATGACTAACGCTCGATGTAATGATGAATGAATTTTCGTTCTACCTATTAAGGTTGTTGAGATAGCCTATTTTCAAAGATTCGTCAGGTTTCAGCGCCATCTGGAAAAAAGAGCATGTAGCACAGAAAGGGAAAAAAATGTGCACATGAATTTTGCATATTCGGAAAGAGGAGCTCTTGCTCTATCGATGCGTAAAATTTTTTGTATTTCTAGTGTTTTCTGTCGGAAATATCCAACTTTTTATCTACGCTAAGTGTTTTCCGAAGCATTCTTTTCAGTAAAATGAGTTTCCTAAATTTTCCTTATGTTCAATTTTATTGAAACTTTCACAGAATGTTGACTTCTATATGACACGTCTATAGAGTTAGCATAAAGGTGCATAAATGCTCCTGGCGTGAGTTAAGGTTTTCCAAAAAACCTTGTTTTTTGACGTAAAATCCGCTTTGTTCAGACCAGACACAGTTTTATTTGAAAAATAATTGCCTGTGTAATGAGACGGTTGCAGCGTATCGACACAGCAGTTTTGACTAGGCACGTGAACATGTGCTAGAAAAGTGGTACGAAAGTCTCTAAACACCCTTTTTATAGGTTTTCGTATACGCTCTTTCCAGAGGAATGATTTTCAAACTTTCAAAGTATGGTTGTA